TATTTCTCAATGGCGTCTATATCCATACATCTATACATTCTTGTCAGTAAGTATATCCAGAGATGTTAAGCAGTAAACAATAATGTAAACGAAAGAATGCATAAAAAGGAAAGTTAATGTCCAATTGTCCAAAATAGTAAAGATATCAAGATAAACGCACGCCGTTTTTTGCTGTTTCTTATCAACGTCATTAATTAGCGAATACAATAAGGTTTTTGTTCTCGTGAAGAAAGTTTATTTGCGTGCAAGTTTCCATGTTTGATGTTGTGAGGTCAAGTTGTTTTTGACTCATCAGTTCTGAGCTTATATGGAAAGGACGGCTGACAATAGCTTTGAGAGTGACCATACTTTTATTTTTAGTTTTGTACGAATTATTATTAGTATTTTTTTTTTCAATAAAAATTGCAGTAAATCTTATTAATAATATTAATGTGAAAGTTATGACGGATGTTTGCTAGAATTTGTAACCTAAACGGCTGAACGAACCCCGATGAAATTTGGCATATAGATGTGGAGGATAGGCTGGAAGAACACATAGGCTACTGACTTGTTTAAACCCACAAGGACGGAGTCGCGGTCGAAAGCTAGTTATAAGTAAAAGTGCACATTGTCATAAAGTACAATCTTTGATAAAGTAACATAAGGCACAATATGTATAGGATGTTTGTAGAGTAAAGACGATAGTGATATTGACCTAGTGACGACATCTGTTGAGGGCAATGTACAACGCATCTTTATATTTACAACTACAAACTTTTGTATCCTTTGCATATATTTTAATTATTTAAAAATAAGTGACATTTTTGTTTACAGTTTACAGTTTATGTTATAACTAATTGTTGCCAGCTAGACTCCGTCTGCGCATAAGTAAAAAAAATAATTATTAGTAGTCTAAATGTTCTTCTAGATTATGTTCTATGTTTTTGGCAATTCAGAGAGAACTGATGATCTGTTGTGGAGATACGTTATACCACCATCTGTCTATCTAAACTTTCGAATTTATAATTTCAGTAAGACAAAGTAAATGAGATGTGTTTTATGCACGTATGATAAAAGTCATTGTACTAATTTCTCTAAAAAAATATCAACGCTTTTTTTTTTGTTATACGTAATTGGTAAAGTTCTCTTATTAATGCTACTCTCTTTCATTGAACCAGGATCTGCTTAACAAGAATTTGTTTACATTACTTCAAACTCGATCGTGCTTTGTTTTTTAATTATGTGTTCAACAGTACTTTGTAATCTCATGTAATTTTATTGTTGCTTAACATTATCTATTTTAGTTACATTATGTAATTACGTAGAGAATATTTCTTGTGCTGTCGGAAATTAAATTTATTATACTCATTAAGTGCAACTTCTATCTTGTGCGTTTCGCAAACCGCCATAAGGGAATCATGAGATATTTGAGTTATGATGATAGTCTTACTAACTCGTTTGAAACTGTTTTAATGTTTCTAGGACTACTGCCATTACACTTTATGACATATGATTTTTAATCTCTAACAATTACACTGTCATTTATCATATGCTAGCCATTCCGTTTGACAAAAATGTGTCTATTTTTAAAACTCTGCTCATTCATTTGCATATATTTTTATAATTGAATTTATTTTGAATATTGTTTATAAGACTAATCTGTTATATCTATACTTCTATACTAATGTAATAAAGCGTAAACATACACTTCTTTTTTGCCTAAGATGTCAGCAATTACAGCATATTTTTGAAAAAATCTCTTAAAAGCCTTACACTTACGTCACGCTTTAGGTTATATATTTTCACCCTATTAAACTCAAGGGTTAATATTTTGGATAAAAACCCTAAAGTGGGAAAGAGACCATAAGTTGCTGCCAACCTCAAGGAAGCAAGATTGTCAAGGTTTGTCATATCATGTCATTTTGACATTTGCTATTGATAATTTGACATATGTAAACAATAAAATAACATTTTCATAATTTCATGCGGATGAAGCTGCACGGGAACATCTAGTTTATCATATACTGGTCATTCCTTTTGACAATAATGTGTCTATTTTTATGGCGCCCAGTGTAGAAACTACGCATTAATTTGCATATATTTTTATAGTTGAATGTATTTTGTATATTGTTTATAAGAATAATCTATCGATGAATGTTTTCATTTATTCATTATAACGTTAAATTTTTGGTATACTCAGTATATTAAATATTTATTCACCAATAAGGTAACTAAATGGGAGCAAAAATCTTACAGAATAAGCTTTAGTTTGAAACTGATCCGCACAAACAAAACTTTCACTACCAATTTCAATCTTTGCACATTTTTAGTCATAACACGTAAGAATGTATTCCTTTGGTTCTCTAAAAGGGCATTAATTGTGTTATCGAGGGCATAGGAGTGAAAGCGCGGGAACCTTCTTTGGAAGGATCAGTGGGCGACGACCCGATGTGTCGACAGCCACGCGTTAGGAAAATATATTGCCCAGATAACCAAATAAACACATGACCAATTGTAGTTTATTGTTTCTCAACGATTCGCTAAATAATGATTATCTTTATGCGAAAGATTTATTGTTTCTTATTATTAAAATTAACCATGTTAAACGAGTATAAAGTTTTTTAATGTATTTTAAATACATTTACGGTGGTAACATAAAATACACAAGTTTTAGAAGTCACATTTACCGGAAGAATTTATGTTCTAACATGTACTCTTTATACAAACTTCCGTTTTCTAAACCATTAATGTTTTTAATAAAAATCATCAATCAGTTAAAAACGGTATAATATCAGTAGTGAAAACAATGTTTTCAAACAATAAAATTCAAATACTGCCATGTCAATACAATAGCGCGCTCAGGGCGAATCCTTTACGACGGACGTAAAAATAGAGAAAGACGAATGTGCCTTAAGTAAACAGGTACGTCAATAGCAATTCCTTACGCTGTAAACATGCCACCGACCTATTGTGAAATACGTCAACTTATAATCTTACTAGACATAATGTTACCACCTTTACACAAATAGTGCTTTGTACAAATAGTTTACAAAATTGTTTTTTTTTTTATATCTTGGAGTTTAATGGAAAATCTACAAATTATTGTGAAATGTCGTTTTTGGGTTTGACGTATCATAGTTGTTGTTACTTTCGGTAACAAATAACACCTTTAAAAGTTTAAACAAAGATTTTTTCAATCAATGTAACATAATAAACATGTAAAATGTAGTTTGGCTGTAATGCATTGACACGTTCAAATCATAATTTGCTGTCAGTTTATTACATAGTTAGTAAGTTTAAGAACTGTCGAAGTTCACAATCGATCGGTGACAGTTAAACAATAAGACAATGTAATATGTTGTATGTTACTTCCGATAATAATACTGTAGCCTTGGCGTGTTTACGGTCCATAAGGCATTGTCTGCTTACATGTATTACAATATTATTTAGGTTTCGAACGTCGGAAGAATAAGTTTCTTAAAAGATTTATCACATATTCGTGCAATAATGCAACTTTTTTGTTAAAAATTGCACGAATATTACGTTTACCTGTACATTTAAAAGTTAATCAAGGACATATTATGATTGTGAGTTCTAAATGTAATTATTAAAAAACTAGAATATATGTATATTTTTTGAGTCATGAGTCATTAAAAGGGATTTTAAAGAGAACCAATTATTTTCCTATTTATCTCAAAGTATTTAATTACTATAGACGAAGAAGAATTCTAAAACAAATTGTAGCGTCACATCAAGACCAGTGACGTCATAATACTTAATACAGAGGTCATTATTTCTAGTTATTTCACCAGCTAGCGCTAATATGTTATACTAATAAACTATTTTTGACTTTTTCAGGGTGTCCAGTAATGCTTTGACATGCCGAGCACGGCGGTTTTGCGCGAAGTCGCTTCAGCGTCGCCCACCGACCCTAAGACGTACGAAGATGCATTGGCTACCGTAAGTGTTACAAAAGGAATCTGTAATACAGTCATATAACTCATATACATCCCTACCAAGGGGCAGGGCAGTTACATGTGTCAGGGAAGACTAGGCTATGGTCAACGACACTGTCCCAGTGCGGGTTGGTTGACTTCACACATATTTTTTATTTTTTTTTCACAGATATGTGCAGGTTGAATCAAAATGTTGGAAACACTTTATTAATAAATTATTGGTTAATACGACTGACTAGTGGCTCTTGGCTTGTGAATATTGTTTAGTTTTTCGTAGGTCCTTATTCGGTTTTAATTGGGTTTACACTTTTTCAGTGTCCTAAATATTCTTGTCTTCTAAATGTTTCTTTTTATTATACACTGCTTTGGATAAATCCAACAAGGTCATAAAATATCAGTATTTAATATTAGAGTTAATTAAAACTTCATTTACGATAACACGCTAGACCACAACTGGTTTCATTCAGTTATCTAAATAGACCTTTATTGGGATAATATGATTTTAATTATGTTTAAATAATAAACATGACATTCATAATTGTATTGCAGCTATGTTTTACGTAATGTTTTTCACTTAAAATCACAATTTTTTCATATGTTGCTATCTTAACATCGACCAAAATGAGAAAAGTTTATTGATTATAACATAAGTAATAGAAGTTTACTTATTAATTTGAAGTGTTATCATTTCGGTAATAATACGTTTAGATTCAAATATATCTGTGCTAACTCCACGCCATCTGTTGCTCGCGGTCCTCAACAAAAACATTGAGTAGGAGCCCTTTTGATCCAGCGGTTTCAAAAAGGGATCAGTAGCAACGTACATTGCCGTAACGCCATGGAGTTGTCAGTTGTCGGAAAATTTTGTCAACGTTTGATAATTGGGACGTCATCATTTCCCTTTAAACCATGCTTGAGCACAAACAACTGCAAGTGTGTACCCTAATCGCCTTACAAAACGATTACAACAGGTTAGCTAAGTTTTTACTCGATACGTGTGAAGTTTCAGCGCAATATCACGTATCGACTTAGCGGCTGTATCGTGTGTGAATGGAAAATGTCCATTATAAGGCAAACGGACGTATAGTACAATACACCTGCATACAATAGCTCCGTAGTTTAGTATAGTGCAGTTCCCAGCATCTGACGCGCGGCCTCCTCTCGCGTGGTTTGTTAACAATTAACTGACGTTGAATTAACGTTATTTTTTTTATTTTATAACGGTGGTTTTTGTGGCGGTGTTAAATATGTGATTTCTAATGTGATTAGTGAAGTGTAAAGTGTGTTTTTGAAATTATAATGAGCGATTTCGTATATTAATATCCTTTTACATTTTCCTAGTTTAGTTTACAGTTGTTTAATAATCTAAACAAAGATAGCGTGTACAATCGTTGTATGTCGGTCCCAACCTTGGCTTTTGCTTGTTTACTAGCTTCATTAGTTTTCTTTATTTGTATACACGAGTTAAATTGACTTATGTAACACAATGAGTTGCATCGTAGACATTGAATGATTTCGTGCATCTGATCCGAATATGGTTGCAGTTATAGCCGGCTTATTTGCACGTATTTTTGAGAAACATTGGTTTGACAATACGGAAAATGTAATTAGTAACTTTGTAGTACCTTAGTTTTGTCAGTATTGAATATAACATAATGTCCTATTTAAGAACAATTTTAATAACAAACAAGTTTTCATAGGACAACTTGTTAATTCATATGATAATTTAAATCGAATGAAAACAAACTATTCATGTTACATACTCGTAGCTTATGTATGTCGCAAATGTTGCTTATAAATCAAGTTATTGTAAGAAGTATTTTACTTAATAATGTAACTTATTTAATAATAATAAAAATAATAAATACACAATCAAAATTCCCTTAAAAGGATAAAATAAAACTTAATTTATAGAATACTTTAAAAATGTTTTTCAATTTTTATTTTCTAAAGTGGTAATTGGAAATTCCAACATGTCTCTAATAGAAAATTAGCATTTCTAATAAAATTTTGTATATAAATGTAGCAACGTCTTGCATTTCACGACTGATTTGATGACAAAGAAATCAATTATTTTAGATAATAGAAAGGTTAGTAAATATATTATATCAATGTTAACAAAAATGAAATAAACTAAATTTCGATATTACAGCAAGGATCGTAGTGTGTAATTTTAAATTTATCTATAATTCTATACTCATATTTGAAAGAGGTAAGATTTGTATTATTGGACTTTTGTATGAATGGAAATAACTCAAATACTACTAGGCTGATTTCAAAAATTCTTTCACCATTAAAAAGCTACGTCGTCATTGAGTAACATAGGTCGTGTTTTTTTTTTTTTTATATTACGTGGACGAAGTCGTAAGCAACAGTTGTATCTATTTTAGTGTTTTTTTTGTTTTTAAATACAAAGCATGGAAGTAATGTCGGTCACTTAAACACTATCCTGGCTTACCCGTATACGGACGAGGCCGGGATGGTGTTTAAGTTGGCCGACATCTGTTTCAAGAAAACAATCAGTTAATTAAGTTTTGTTTGTTTAAGATTTATGGGGCGTTATCGTCGCTTCGCGACAAAGCCCCTGTAAGGATGAAAAAAATACAAATCAATTTCTTAGTTAAGTAAAAATTGTATATTTAAAACCATTCCAAAATAACTAGCACTTTAACCTTATTCCTTATTACGTTGTTAAAACTAATTTAGACAAATTAATTTGTTTTATTAGAAATGCGGTAGTCGTGGCAGCGTGGAATTTACTCAAAAAGGCGCTCCCACGGACCCGCGCAAGGTGAGCGGGCTATTCTTAAATTGTCACAGTACAAATGATTACGCAACGTATTGCCCGCATGAATTATCTCACACAAGCCATGCTTAATACGTTTTTTATGTGATACTTGTTAACCGCATTTGTTTACTACGTAATTTAAAGCCAACGTTCTCTTGGTATTATTCGTATGTTGATAGAAATATATTTTAAAGGTAAACATTTAGTAAATTAATTGACATACTCGTCCTAATAATGGGTCTTTGGATTTTTGTACTTGTTCTATTAAAAGTGCAATATTTTATACAAATACTAGCTTTCGCCCGTGACTCCATCTGCGTGGAACTAAAAAATAACTAAAGTAGCCTATGTGTTCTTCTACACTATCCTCTACATCTATACCAAATTTCAACGAAATCCGTTCAGCCGTTTAGGCTACAAACTGTAACAAACATTCATCCATCCATCTAAACTTTCACATCAATAACATTAGTATGAAGTATGATTTCATTAGAAATCAACAGCTAAAGATATTTTGACGTGTTTCTGTTAATATGTAAATAGAATTGTAAACGTACTAACACCCATATCTTGTATTATAAAATTTACTATTTTAGAAAGCGAACACTTTGTTTACTTAAACGTAAATTCTTTGACATAAAGATTTATATTATTACTAGCTTTCGGTCGCGACTCCGTCCGCGTGGTATTAAAAAAAACAAAAGTGAATAGCATATGTGTTCTTCCAGACTATCTTCTACATCTATACCAAATTTCAGCGAAATCTGTTCAACCGTTTAGGCTACAAACTCTAACTAACATCCATCTATCCATCCATCCACCCATCTAAACTTTCGCATTTATAATATTAGTATGATTTTATTACATTGAGACGTACATCATAATACGACTCAAGGTCTATCATAGGACAATGTTCAGTCTGTGATTGAATCAAGTTATAACCTGCGAGGTAACTACGTGAACGACATTTTAAATAGAAGTACAATATATGGAATACTAGCTGTTGATCGCGAATTCGTCGGCGTGAAATTATAGAAAATGTAGTCTATATTACTCAGTGATAACATAGCTTTTTAATGGTGCTAGAGAATTATTTCAATACAAACAAAAATACAAATCATTTTTATAATGTTGATATCGATGAATTAACACATCTTTTTATTTACACCTTCTGTTAATTAACTCTATCTTCAATTGGTAAAAAAATATTTGGTTCGAACCAAATAGTTTGATTTTTCTTATAAAAGTGAAGAAGTGAAGAGACTACCATATCCCGGTTAGGACACGAATATACTCCATATTAACTGTTAATATTGCGAATTCATCAATGTCATTTATAATTTCGTAACTTGTCCGACAAGTAGATAGCTTACATTTGATTGCTATCAAAGTGACGTGCGTCAGTCAATGTCACTCGATACTCCACGTTTTGACAAGCTTCTTATGTGCGGTTTGGGCTGGTTTGAGTCAATCACCTCTCATGAAAGATATATGGTGACTCATTATGTTGACAGGTGAAACTGTTTATTGCCACCGTTTGATATGAAGGCGTTATTGTTACAGATATGTTAAGGTAGTTTTTTTAAAAAGGTAAATTCGTAGTCGGTTTTAATACATAGTTTTAAAGACTTTTTAATATCTGTATTTCTTCATCATCCCCTACCTTATCCTGCTTCTGTAAGATTGGCGCACCGGGTTATTCGTAACCGAAATACCTCTATCATCCGTCATTTCAGTCATCACTTTCTTCTCGATCATGTCACCTTTCACGCAACCCATCTATCTCTCTCCAGGTCTGCCTCTACCGGTGTACCTCCACACTCATAACTAACGTTCTTCTAGTTACATCCGATTCATCCCTCCTCATAACATGCCCATACCATGCCAACCTTTTACTCGTTAGTTTCTCTACCACTCTGGCTACCCCCAAACTTATTATGTATCTGTTTTTACAGACTAAATTTGTATTGGCTACAGCTTGTAAGTGGAATCCCGGATAGTAACATTTTATGAAATCGATATAAAGTTATACGATACCGACGTATCACGTATCATATAAACGTTGCTTGTCTCGTATTTAATAAAAAAATGTTAAAACACTGTAGACAGGGAAACCGTAGACCGATACAAATTGTGCGTAATCATAAAAGAGCGTGTTTAGAATAATTAATTATAATGTACGATTATTGGCTACGTTGAACAAAGCCGAGTCAATAATGGTCACGTAACTGCAATATACTTAAGCATACAATATACGCAGTGCATTGTGCCCATGACGTCGGCCAGACCTCATTGAATAGCCACCCAAACAAGATGGCTGACTTTTATGTAAATTTTTATCGAGTTATTATTTGAAGTTATGTGATCAATCAATGAGCATGTATTTGTGTCGAAAATCGGCAATTTATTCCCAGTAGAAGTATTTAAACTTTGTTAAGAATATTTAAAACATTGAGAATAATCGTGGATATTTAAATACATGTATTATGTGGGAATAAAATTACTTTGATCAGAATTATAAAAAATATTTTGCATGTGTTCATATTTGTGTAAAAAGTAAGACTATTGTTTAAAATAGAAAAATAAATAAAACGCAAAAGTCGTCCAGCGTTATTCGCACGTATTAAATGCTAGTTTGGTTTATTATTAATACGTCGTTGACATAATTTTCTGACCCGTTTCAAGTTGCATCGAGCACACTATTTAGCGATAACTGAAGTCTAGAGCTGAGCTAAGCTATGCGGTTTTCTCGATTATCTGGTTACATGTTAAGCAAGTCCACTCACGCTTCGCTGATGAACGATTTATTAATCAATTAATTACATTTTCACTTGTTCGCGTGATAATGTTACAGTTTTAGTTCGCGTGTGATTTTCAGTGAAATTTCACTTTGAGAGTGAAATATTTACTGTGATTTTAACACACAGTTATGAGATAGATTAATTGTTACATGTTTCAAAGTTGGGCAGCAAAAGTTTAACGGTACTTTAGTTTCTAAATTATTCCCTCCTTAAAAAAAAGTCGGGCAATATGCTTTGCCACCTTTTTTTTGACAGAGGGGAATGTTTTACGCATACTCCGTGCCTTGGGGCAGACACGAGAGTTATGTGGGACTCTCCCCATAATGGGGCATACTCTCTAATCCCCTCTCTTCCCTCCTGGCCATTGTGTGGGACGCCACGAGATCGCTTACGCTTCCCACCGCAACACCCCACTGAATATGCTTTGCCTGATCGAAGCCAAGGAGCATTGAGTGTGTGCAAATAATTTCTACTTATGTCAAAGTGACGATTATAGTGCCAAAGAGCATGTATACGTAACTTGTGCGATGTATATCCTATGTAAATCAGTAGCTAATTGGGTTACCGAATTAATTTCAATTAGTTACGAGCATAGTAACGTAATTTCAAACGTAATTTAAACGAACGTTTGCGGGATAGATATGCAAATTGTGAAAACATACCAGTTCAATCGCGTGAGTTTTAATTACGCTCTCATTAACGGATGAAGAGACTTTACGCAATGTAATCGACTATGTAAATATGGTATCCAGTTTTATGCTTAATGCTTAACTTTGCGAGTTTCTAACAAATTTTACTTAAACAAATGGGAGTCTAACTCAGAGCCTACATCGAACAAAATGACTTATTACTTCATCTACATTAATGGTAGACAATTCTAGAATCTTTGAAGTCAATGCTGATGTTTATGAGTAGCGGTATTTTTGCGTTTTTATACAATTTCAGATGGTTGTCTGATTGACGTAGGGGGCAAACCAGGTTCATGTCTTCCAGATTGATCTATCTTCCATCATTTCAGTCATCATTCCCTTCTTAAAAAGGTGACATTTCACACATCCATGTATTATTAAAATCTTACTTCTTACTAATATCATAAATGTAAAAGTTTAGATGGATGTTTGTTATAGTTTGCCGTCTAAAGGATGAACAAATCTCGATGAAAGTTGGTAGTTAGATAGTATAGAAGAAGACATAAGCTACTTGCTTTTTTTTTAAATTCCACGCGGACAAAAGCTAGTGTCATATAAATATTAAAAATAATATTGAACGAATAAATCGTTTTCGAATTAATTTAGCTGTACATATCATATTAATAAAGCGTGACTCACGTGGACATAATTTCGTTTAGTGTTGATCATTTATTTGTATTTGATTTATGTGCACGACTGAACATAAGACAGTAAAGAGCTCACGGCTGGAGGTATATTATAGTGTTGATTGATAACATTGCTTTGCTCAAATAATTAGTAAATGCTCAGATTATTACAGACTAGCTTTCGTCCGCGATTACGTCCGCGTGAAATTAAGAAAATATATAAAGCATAGCCAAGGTTAATCACTGACAACGTAGCATTTTACAGTGAAAGAATTTTTTAAATCGGCCCAGTAGTGTTTGGGTTATTTCATTACAAACAAAGTTTCCCTTTTTATAATATTAATATAGATAAGTAAACGAAGTTCTAATGATTTAACCTCGAAATAATTTTTTTATCAAAGTTGTTAAGCCAAAAACATTGTTAGTAAAACTCTTCGAAAACATTCATTTAAAAATATTGATAAAACGAAATAAAACATTGTGGTTTTGTAGCTTTTTCATTAGTGTTATTAGCTATTTTTTTAAATAAAATTACGGCTTGTTTATTTTATATTGTGAAATTATTTCTAAGGAAACAACATTCTACAGCATTACTTTTCAACATGTGGCATGTAATTGTGTTAAGCCGTAATTTGTTTTTGCTTATTCCTTTCTACAAGTACATTAGTAGTTCCCTTGTACTTGTTCAATTATTAATAATCTGTAAATATTTAGCAGTGAACGCTAAAATGATAGCTCACGATTCAATTGTTTCGTTGCTAGTATTACTCGTATAATAATAAAGCAACTACGTGTTTTGTTTGCGATCTATTTGTTATCTTGTACGGCCTTGTGCTCCGGTCAGGTCGATGGGCCACTTTACGATATTCAAAACTCGAACTTACTCTCACTTTCTAACCGAGAACTGAACGTTTATCGGCTTGTTGTTCCGTGAATTTACACTGCTTTAACACTTGTATGATTACATATTTGTGTCTCTTTCTCTCAATGGTAATGACAGAGATGGCAACGTTTTTTACAAAGTCTTGCGTCCAAAAAAATAACTTGAAAATCTAATGGTTTTATATTCTTTGAGCGAAAATATGACTATTTATTCGCGTATTTTTGTACCTCAACAATTAAATGTAGTACCTTCTAGTGCGCATTACTCATTGGTCATATTAAATTGTCTTAGATAAATCATTAGCTAGTAAATCAAGTAGGTATTGGCAAATAAATCAAGTCTGGATTGTAAATTACGTATGCAATATTAAACCGGGGTTTGAACATCTTCAATTTGCAATCAAACATCACTTATATGTATTTAATCATTAAAATAGAGACAAAAAATGTACATTTACTTTATGATTAACTCTAAATGTATAACTTATGATCACGAAATATCCATTACGAAGTTCAAAGCACTAAAGTAATAGTAAAGATAAATATCATAAAATATTAATACCACTGTCATAATAATCACACCGCAATCCGTTTTAGCAAAGATTCTAGAAGTTACCTACAACTAGAAACTAACTATCGTATCATATTATAAATGCCTAAGTTACGATGAATGGATGTTTGTTAGCGTTTGTAGCCTAAACGGATCTCCATGAAATTTGGCACAGGTTTCAAGCATAGTTTGGAAGAACACATAGGCTACTTTTTATCCCGGCAATAATTACGGTTCGTAGTCGCGGGCAACAGCTAGTAAATTTATAAACGCACAGTAATTCTTAGGTATTCTCAAAAAGTATTTTAAATGACAAATTTTAATAAACAAAATAGATACTAGAATAAATACCACTATAGTAAATAGCACTCTAATTAGCCGTGTCATTCTTTTTTCATTTCGGTCGGTTCTTATGATCGAAAAGAAAAGATTAAAAATATTTTTAAAAGATCAATTGTAAATAGCATAAGTTGAATGAGAGGTCGTGAGGTCGTAGTGTACGTTGTTTATAATTGAGATACCAGTTTTGACCTTTAACAACAATCAAGGTGCGTAGATTACTGCTGTTCTGCTCCTTCGTACTTGTTAAGGGGTGTCATAACAGCTATAATAAAAGACGAAAAATGTAATAAAGAGCTCACTGTGCCTTATAAAACTGAGGAAAAGAATACGTTACGAATGACATTATAATTATAAAAAAAATGAAGCCATGTAGCTGCAGGGATTTACAGTAAATGGATAAATGCGATGGAAGTTTGAAAGTAGCGCCAGTGGTGGAAAGTTGAGACATAAACTAGAAAGTGTTAAGATTTAATGTGGATAGCTACAGAGGTAGTGGTAGACGGAAGAAAGTATGGATGGATTGTGTGAAAGAGGATATGCTTAGGAAAGGAGTGGATTCACATATGACGGCTGATAGAGATGTATGGAAGGGCTCGGTAAGGGATAAGGGCAAGTGGATGATGGAAAAATGCTATGTAAATACATACCTATTTACATAATTTGTATTCAAAAACACGTTACCGTATTAGTCAAGCATAAAAGTGCATGGAATGAAATGTATATTCGACTTAAAACAGGCAATGTTATAATGACAATAATTTTATCTTTTTAAAGTACAGATGTGTGACAACCCTATCCGTCTATTTTGGCAATCATCAGTCTGTATTGGGCTGACCTTTCCGAATCGTTTCACAAATAAGCCCGTCGCCGCCTTGCTCTTAGGGGTTATACGATAAAACTTTTGCATTTGTACTTCCTGTTTCTAGAGCAGTATTTTTATTTCGTATTCAAGTTTGTTATTAAAATAGAAATAAAGAAGTACATCGGGTTGAATAGTTGTAGCAAGAGATTGATTGATTACTTTATACTGTTTTTTTTTTTTTAATTTGGACGGCTTTACGCCCTCATTTGTTTTCTTTTGGCGCGAAGTCTGAGACCTTTTTTATCTTGAATTTAATTTATTTTATTCTAGTGTTTTTTAGCTTTCTTCACTTAAATTATATCTACAAGTGTTTTAAGTTAACTTTATACTGTTACGTTTCTCTGTGTATCGCACAATGCTAGCCACTTACACACTGGCACAAAATAACTAGTATGTTAAAAAAGAAACAATGGATTTGCGATTATGTCTGATAGTAATTCTTCAGTGGAGCGGGAGTTACAGCCGTGACCCGATTCGGGGAATACAATGAGCGAATGCATTTAGTGGCGGGTGCATCCACAATAGTCCGGCCTCGGGCGTCGCGCTGCGCTGCCCACCGTACAAGGGCGCGGCCGTGTCACTCCGCCACGTGGACTGCGATAAATTGCATGTTGCATACTTCCGTGAATTCAATACCAATCACACATGCATCAGAATTACGTCATTCTTACTTTATTTAACTTTAAACGTGCTACCTTATGTCTTTTTAGATTCTTTAAATGTATGCAATGTAAGCAAAATGTTCTGATTTTGCTTACTTTGCATACATTTAAAGTTGATATAATCCAAAATATTTACCCGAAAGGTCAATGAACTCAAGCAGATCATTGAACAATAACACAAATTTTGATAATAGATGGTCAATGCAAATTGCAATGCACTGTTTTAAAACAAATAATATTTTGTTGTATTATTAACATAGAGCCACATTTTATATCTTCGCTATAGTAACGCATCTACAAATTCAGATGACTACGGACAACTATTTTGGCCATTACCTTTGGCCACTAACTCGTTTGTTACGAGCTATACTAGTCATATATGGGTCTGATTTACTACTACTACTACTTGAATTATGCATCCTTTTTGTTTGATTGCATTATTTGTTGCTTCATTTAGGTTTAATTACATTTTTTGTTGTTGTTATTAGCTGTATTATCGAGTTTTGATAGTATAGATTTAAACGCGCCAAAGTGTGCGCACAACGGAAACGGTGGCGTACAGACGGAATACTCATTGCGTTACATACAGTACGTTCGGTGCGCGTGCGCCAAAACAAAATGTTAATCCACCGGTTCATTAATTTTATGTTTGCAGCTAAGCCTTGGTTTTCTTCAGTCAATTTCTGACGCGAACTAAAGACGCGCGATGTTTGTTTTTGCAACAAATTTTGTGTGTATCGTTGTGCTAATGTAAATTCGGCAATTCTCATGTTTTAGTTTACCAAACCGTGTAAATAATGATTGCGAAGGTGCTAATCAGTGCTAAAATACGTGGTGCAGAAACTAGTCTTTGCAAAATCCTTAGAAATCTTAGCGTTAATTTAATAGAATACTGAATTCTAATGCAAATTGAGTGTTTAAGTGAATATCATTTATTTGTAGACGTTGAATGATTTTTAATGGTAACAGTTTTCCCTTTGAGCGATCATGGCGCCATCAAGCGGCGACCACGTGTACTTATGCATTACACGTCAAAGTCACCAGACCGAGAAACCTACGAGTCTACTAACTTTAGCTACTCGGTAAGAGATGGCGCTGTTATGCTAAATCCGAGCGCAAAACTAACGTATCTTATTATAAATTTTAAAAATGTTTATTAATATTATTTCATTTGTTTTCATTACAGGCTGAACCTGGGGATGTTATCGCTACAACAAAAGAAGGTTGGTAGAATAATATAAATTAAAACATTATGTAGACATTAGCATTAAGTAAAGATTTTTTTTTTCAAATTAAAACTCTGTTTTAGTTGTTGAAAGTTTATTACCAGATGTACATTAAATTACGGTACAATACATGTGTTATTAAAATCAGTAGCTGAACAGTAGAAAAGGGTTGCTAAGACAAATCGGACTAAGAACGAGGTCAAAAATATATTTTTTTTTTAATAATCAAGGTTAATTGACCCTTGGTCATTCGTGGCTTACACCTGGTTTATATTACATTGCAGAAGAGTGGGTGACACGCAAGACGAGCGAGGTGACGACCACCCGGCAGATCGCGACGCGGGTGAAGCGGGAACTGGTGCTTGAAGATGGCCGCATCCTCCTCGACTCCGGACCAAAGATATCTACTTCTGTCAATGAGGATACACACACTACGAACTTTCAACAGACCGAGGTTCATCTGTTTGTGCAGTTTCCGATAAAATCACGTAGATATTAAATATCTGATCTTAAAATAAGAATGTGCACGAAGCGTGTGAAACAGCGAGTGAACAAAAAGGTTGTTTTTACGGTATTAGTGTCATCTGTTTCGCGCACGCACACTTCATGCTTCAAATCAGTTTTCGGCCGTGAGAGATGGAATCATTTGTATGTCGCTTTATACGACTCATCATACATTATAATGCTACTTATGTTGTATTAGCTTTCGCTCGAAACTTCGTCCGCGCGGAACTAAAAAAAGTAGCTAAAGTAAGTAAACTAGTAGCCTATCCTACCTAACTATGCCAAATTTCATCGAAATTCGTTCAGCCGTTTAGGCTACAAACTGTAATAAACATCCATCCATCCATCTAAACTTTCGCATTTATAATATTAGTATTAAGTATGTAAACCTAACTAAAATGTGATTTTGTAGATGATTTTTATTGTATCAACGTAATTAACTTTAACAATTAGAATACTGACTCCCGCTAGAATAGCGCGCTATTCCAATACGTCTGAATGACATTGACAGCTGTCAGATAGGGATGGGACGTCTATGACGATGTTCTATTGTTTTCCGAATTTTTTCTTAACAGTAAAAGTCATTTTGCTTACACGGGTGTTTTAATATTCGAATGTAACTCTAATATTAGCAATTTTTGTTTTATAAAAAAAAACAACAAAATAATATATGAATTCAGAAATGAGGGTTCCTAATTCTTAATGTTTCAGCATCGAGTACCTGATGAACAAAATGGCGAAGAAGATACGAAAACCAACGGCGGTGTACATATCGAAGCGGCAGAGGGAGCCACCGAATTGCCACAGGATGGTAAGCTAAACTAAATACCATTATTATTTTAAACAAAACTAAGATCAGGAAAAAAATGTTATTTCCATAATAAATAAAACGTCTTGAGAATTATAATTTAAACCTAAAAAGCAGACACTAAAATATTTTACATTTTCATAACATCTCACTAATATTATAAATGCGAAAGTTTAGATGGATGTTTGTTAAAGTTAACCGCCTAAACGGCTAAACCGATCTCAATTAAATTTGACATAATATGTATATGTAAAGTATAGTCTGTCTGTAAGAACACATAAGCTACTTACAGATGCCCGTACGGATAGGAGCAGTACGGGAGTATATTAAAGTTTTTAACTACTATTTTTTCATTTTTGCAGAACTGGCACCGAATACTAGTGGAGAGGTAGCGCCATCTGGTGGCAAAGTGTTGGTGTCGTCCCGCGTGGTCGCCAATCCGGAGGGCAAGGTGCGCGAGAGTCATGACCTGAAAGTACTCACGAGGAACGTCACCGAGCGAGTACGAGAGACGGAAGAGCGGTTCCATCATGGCGACACTACACATGACGTGAGTACGAATGGTGCAAATTTGTTGTATTTCTATATTATAAAGTAAAATAATATCGCAGTTGTCTAAACAGAATTTAAATATTTTTATAAATCGACGACATCCCTTTAAACCCGTTGGAGAACTAAGCTCTAACTGTACAGTCGAATTGTTCAGTTAAGATTGTGCGTAGACAAAATATTAACTGTACAGTTAAAATTATAATTTGACGGTTAGACATGAGCTTATGTAGTGGGTTTTAGCGCGATGAAACAAAATTAACATTATGTACATTACATAAACAGTAATAATAATGTAGCTAGGAAATTCTTAATTTATGAATACTTAATTTCACGATACTACAATAAACCACTCTAGACTCTAGACATAGATAATGAATGTCGAAAAAAAGCAAATGTACATCGATTAATTCGCGTTTTACAAGTACTCAAAGACCACCTTGAACTTGACATTGCGGGGCTATTTATGAACGCTTTTAAAGTCCTATAGAGGTCTGTGATGACATTATCTGTGCCCATAAGATGCAGGTCTATTGATACAATGTCAAGGTTCGATTTGATTCGGCTCACTATACCGATACTGGGTGACAGCCACTAATGGAGTCATGGGAACATGCGCTTGCAAATAGTTCAGTCTTAATGCTCTTATTGTATAAGTATGTTTCAGTTCTTAATTGCCTTAGTCACATATTTATAACTACTTAATAGTACAGAACTATAGCTTCAGTGTGATATGAAAATACATAAAAACATATTCGTCTTCCGCTGTAATTGACAAAAATATTTATTTTTAGTTACTAGCTTTTCCCCAGAATTCCGCCCGCGTGGTATAAAAGAAAACAGAAGTGAGTAGCCTATGAGTTCTTCCAGACTACACTCTATGTGTATGCCAAAATTCATCGAGATCCGTTCAGCCGTTTTGGCTACAAACTCTAACAAACATCCATCCATGCATCTAAACTTTCGAATTTATAATATTAGTATAATATATTAGAAGAAGTAGTATTACTATTTAATTGTTTACTTTTGCATAGTATTTTAATTTTTAGTTGGCTGTTTTCTTTGAGAATACGGTGGTCTATATATAACTGTCGTGGTTTTTACAAATATATTGTTCGTAAGAAATCCGTATCTGACGAACATTATATGGTGGTCTATGTACAGTTGTTTAGTATTGTAGAATTATATTACATGTAAGTTAAAATAGTATTGAAATTAAACATATTTTGATAGCTTACCATCGCCATTGGAGTTAACAAGACAAGTGAAAGTATAGAGGCGATATAAAAATAAAATGTTGCGCAACAAGCGATCGTAAATGCATATCGAATGTTTACAATTTAACAATTTTTCTCTCTTATTTATAAGTACAGTCTATTATGTGTGCAGAGGATATTTTCCTTTAAACATTTTTAACGATATGGTATTAACAATGCGAAAGTATCAAGAATTAGCTGTTAACAAAATAATTAAAAACAACCTATGTTATTTACTAATACCGTAACTTTTTAATGCTGTAAGCTTTTTTTAAAAACGGTTCAGTAGTTTTTGAGTTATTTCAATACATACAATAATTCAAATCTTTCCTCTTTATAATATTAGTACAGATTATAATCCTAGATATTTTGAAACCGATAAGTCGAATCCTTTAACTGTAATTAGGTTAACTAAAAAGCAATTAAAAAACGCGACGTAATATAAATCTGTAATTTAAAGTAATCAATGACAATGTTTTGACATTTAATTAATTGAAAATAAATAATTAAGTTAATTCGATTAGGAAATTGAAATCTGGGTTAAGTGAAGGTATATTCTGTAAATTGTATAACGTTTTGAGTAGTGAAGTGATAGCATTTGTAACGTAATGGTTATTGCGTGACTTGTGATCCTATAGCTGAGGTCAATTCGGGTATTTGTTGAAGGCAAACCTGTTACAACGGGTGACCGAAAGCGGAGACTAAAACATAACATCGTGTAACCTGTTCTATACAACACTTTAACAATGATAGTCATTGTGTTGAAAATACGTTCGTAATGATATTGTCACCATATTTATTAATTTAGATTTGTGCTTACTGTGTCTGCATTGGTCAGTTATGTTTTAAATTTCACGTTAGTTTTTAGACTAGCTGTTGCCCGCGACTTCGTCCACGCAATATTAAGATAAAAAAGTAGCCCATAATATGCCCGTCCGTGTTAGCTACCCTTCTGTGAAAGTCCCGTCGAATTCGGCCCAGCCGTTTCGGAACCGGAATTAACCGAAACAAATGCGGCTTGCATACTGACAGACAGACAGATTTTTTTAAATGCTATTTTCGTTATCAGCAACGCAAATACGTCATCTTTCCGAAATCTGGAATTTTTCTTTTCATATTACAAACACTCCAATTTTATCTATACTTACTATTATAATAAAACGTAAACACACACTTCTTTGTTGCCTAAGATGTCAGTAATTACAGCACATTTTTGAACAATTCTTTTTTTAATAAAAAGCCCTATACTTGCGTCATGCTTTAGGGTATATATTTTAACGCCATTAAACTTAGGGCTTTAAATATTCTAGATAAAAACCCAAAAGAGACCATAAGTTGCTGCCAACATCAAGGACGTAAGGTTGTCATCATGTCATGTCATTTTGACATTTGTATTTTATAATAAACACTAAAAATAAATTTTCATAATTTTATGCGGATGAAGTCGCACGGGAACAGCTAGTTATATGTATAGATAGATATAGATTTAATCTTGGTTTCAATTCCGTCACTTTTAATTTACTTTCAAAAACGTGTATTTTCATAAATCTACATGTTATTTTGATGCAGGTGAAAAGAGAAAATGATCATTATTTATTATGCAATTCGAATGGAGGCTGTATAATCAATTAAAAATGCCGATCGATTATAATTGAATAGAGAAACAGTTGGTATAGAAATAAGATATTATTTAGTTACGTAAGTTACTTCACATATCTTTTCAACACTTGTTTATAACATGTTGACATTACTTACACTGTGTGCATACGTTAGGGAACGCAAACACTAATAAATATCAATATGAAATAAATCAGATTGGTATTGTTGAAAGCAATTTAAAAATGCGTTATAACGACAATCTTTTTTTGTTATAAAACTCCATTGGTAATTTTTTCAAATAGTTAAATATTTACAAAATATTGTTAAGTAAAGACTCCTTTCTAGCAAATCTATTTTAAATATACGAAGACGTTTTTTTAAACGGGTTTAAAGTGAAATAACTTGTGATCATTCGCATAAATCGAGGTTTTGATATTGTAGTTTTGTTGCAAGCTATGTACGGGTGCTGCGCCCACGTTTGCATCGTAAAGTGCTTTAAAGCGCTTTATTATAACATATTTGATTAGTATTTTATAGGTTCTGATATTTTCGAAGTAAGTTACTTACTAATAATACAAACGCAAATGTTTAGATAAATGGATGTTTGTTAGAACCTATTGTTAGGATCTCGATAAAATTTGACATATAGAACATTGTCATAGAGCATGTTCTGGAAGAACACATAGGCAACTACTTTTTTTTTTAATTTTCAAACGTAAGATTTAGGGCCAGTCCCACCAAATTGTAAATTTTTTGATAACAATCGAACGTGTAAAATATGTGATGGAAATATCGGATTTTGTTACCTATCTGACAGTGACGTCATTTTTAAGCCTCTATCAGTCAGTGGTGGGACAGGCCCTTACTCTTTTATTATTGCTATGGAAATGCTTTTACTACAAAAAGTCATTTTTTATTAGAAAAGAGTTAAAAACATCTTACATTACGTGGTTACAACTCATGTTACCAACGTGTAAAATGTCTAGTGAAAAAAACTATAGCAATCTGAATGGTTTTTTATTTTGGTGCAATTTGTGCGAGCGATGTGAGTCGGTCTGTAATTTGACCTCACGCAGGGCATTAGAATCCCGGAGTGCTTTCAACGCTCGACTACAAAACCACAGAGGCTTTAGCCGCAAGAACCACACCTCAAACTCCTTGCAAATCTAATACGGCATTATGAGTCATTGTCGTTTTGGGATTTTATAAATTAGCCAGTGAGCAATCATTCCTTTTTAAGAACCTTGTTTTGATAATTAAGGATCTTGCAAAAAGTTTTAGTATTGTTGTTTTTTATCTTATGTTTTAAATTACTAGGATAAAAATGAAGCTTAATGTTAATTGACCATGTTTAGATTGTAATGGAATCATTTTTGGCATATAAAATTGTCATAACATTCCTGCTCAGAACATAACAAGTAAAGTAACTAATCTTTCTGTTGCGATAAAAATGTTGCAAAATGTGCTTTCGTATTTTCATTAATCCGTTTGTTTTTTTTATACTAATGTTAAAAAAGCAAAGATTTATATTATTGTAAGTATTGAAATGATTCGAAAACTTCTGGGCCGATTTCAAAAATTCTTTTCCCAATGAAAAGCTATATTATCTCCCAGTAACATAGGCTTTTTTTACTATTCCTTTTAATTTTCCGTAAACGAAGTCGTGAGCAACAGCTATTAACATAAAATTTCAATTGTTCTACATTAATACGAGTAAGTAGACAATATAGTCATTCTAAAAATCTGTAGGTTAAGCGCGCAAAACATCTTTTAAGCTAGTTACGTCAGATGAGGGACGAAATCTGCAAGAGACCGTATACCAGAAGCGTGGGATGAACTTAAGTAATTCGATTTGTTTGAACGCTATTCAGTATTGATAAATATGCACTATATAAAATAAAACTAGTGTTTGCGATTACGAATCCAATTTGCCACATCCAGTGGGACGCAGGTCATTTGCTTCGTGATTATATTACAGAGAGCGAAGGTAGCCGCGACTGCAATAATTTAAGATGTTTAGATAACATCTACAAGCCGCGTGTGGTGTGCCTAAGAATTCATGTGATCAGCTATAGATCCAATCTTAGATATAGGCTCAACAGGGGTTGTGAACATTTGATATGAACCGCACTATTGTATTCTACAT